GAGAGAGAGAGGGAGAAGGAGAGGGCAGAAATCTCCCTCTTAGCTCAGCATATCAGCTCACTGGCAGAGGGATTCTACCTGGATCCACTCTTGTCCAAACTCTCTCCCCCCTCCATGTCACCCTCATCCTCCCCTCCCTCCCCCTTCCTGTCTCCCACTATAGAAACTGCTGATGTTGATTCAGTCCACATGCTTAGGGAGTTTTATCCCATCAAAACATGGAGAGGTCTGGACATTCCCATGTTCCTCGACGATGATGATTCTCTGTTTGAAGAGAGCATCCTAGAAACCCTCCTCCAAGACGACTTCACTCCTCCTCAGCCCACGGGCCTCTCCTCTCCCTCCCCTTCAACCTCCCCTATGCCCAATCCCTCTAGCCCAACCTCTTCTCAAACCCCAGTATGCTGGCGCCAACCCTCCCAGTTTGAGGGAGTGGGCCACTTCTGTAGCGTCCAATCGGCGCAATGTAACTCCATGGCTGGGTGCGGCGCGACTGTGGCTGCTGAGGCCGGGGCAAATATGGAAGGGGAGGGGCTAGCGGAGGAAGCAATGGAGATTGAGGTGGTGTCATCTCCTGTGTCCTCTTGCTCCTCCATCCCAGCTTCCCCTCCTCTCATCCTCACTGCCTCCCCCAGCCCCGCCACCTCCACGCCCATCGCCTCACCCACGCCCGCTGTGTCTTGCACTCAGTCCCTCCTGGAGGAACTGGCCGTCCTGGAACCCATGTTTGGGGCAGGTGCCTCGATCGCCCCTGGCTTAGGGCAACAACCTGAGTTGTATCAACTCCAATGTCATCCATCGCCACAGTGCTTCCACAAAGGTGAGAATCTGTCTCTATTTTCTCTTCTTAACTGAGATGAAAAACCCATTTCTGAAAATTCACCACTAACGTCCTTTTTTCTCTCTTTTCTATTTTTTGTCTTTCAGATGGGAGTGGAAGTGTTCCTCCGTTCTAAAATAAGTCTGTGACTTACTTCATTAAGTATGGCATATTGTCATATTTTGTGGAGCCCCTTTTACTGAAAAGTAAAAAATAATTAAGTGTATAAATATACATAATGTATATACAACTTAAGGACTTTAACTCCTACATGTCTCCTAAGAACAAAGATTGGCTTTATATTTTTGTTCAGTCATTAATCTGTATACTACTACAAAACTGGTGCAACATTTACATGATGGTGCAACCACATGGACTCATAACTGACTGGGTTTTGAGTCCATGTGGTGTCTTTCAGCTTCTCTGTAACATGAGCTTCAGATATGATCAGACAGAGAAACCTCTCTGAACTTGTAAGCGCTGTTTAACTTCCAGACGCGCATTTGTATTCACTCGTAGTGAAAAATCTGTTGTGAACAAAAAACAAACAAAATATTTCTTGCTACTTCAATAAGGAGATGAATTATAGCACTTTTGCCTGACATGCAGCAACGCAAACCCAAATCTCAAATGTATTGGAAGTCAAATGTTTACAATTTTTTACATCCTTAAATGACCACTATCTGTACATCAAATTACAAAAGATTTCTCTTTGATAAGAACTCTTCTATCCAGTCTTCAGAGGCAGTACAGCTCTGATTTGATAGCACTCTTCCTCACAGCCTTAAGGGGCTACATCAAAACATAAATAGTAATCAACTTTAAACCTGAGATACTTTGAGCTTTGAGTTTGCGGCTTCAAACCTTTAACATTTCTTATTTATCTCTCCATCTAAAAATCTTGTGTATCAATGTGATGTGCAAACAAAAAAGAAAACACGTGAAGAGATCCTGGCATGTGAAGATCTCAAGAAAGGTGTCCATTGCTTTACAAGATGTAACACCAAACAAGATATTTGTCTGGAAGTTTGCCGGAGCTCTGATCATGCCACAAATCCACTGCTACGTTGTACTGTACATTAGACTCTGAATGTGGGCTCTACAGGTCCCTCCCGGCCTGAGGGCAGTCGGCTGGATATTGTTGCAGCATCAATATTTGCAATGCTGGCAGCTTATAGCAGCTCCTGCGTGCCTGAAACGGCCATGACCTGCTGAACTCTGAACTCTTTATCATGTCCATTCAACATGGACATTTACATCGTTGCTCCACTGGAGTGCGGTGTAGTGAGGCACAATTGACTATGTGAATGAGCGATTCTTCTTTTTTGAGAGGGGTTAGAATACAAAAGTTTTGTTTTAAAAAATGAAAATAGGGATGGGGTGCTATTTCTATTCAGTTACCAAGCGACACGGGTTGAGAATGGTACTATTCCCATGGTGTCGACATGCTCACGTAGAGTTGTCTACGGTCAAGTAAAGGATTGATTCCTACGTTCTAGCTATTAAAGGCTAAGTTAATATACATGTGTAAAATTACTATATTGTTTGTGTGATATTTGAAAAAGATGTTATTGCATATGCATTATGTCTGTGGATATAGGCATATGTTCTTTTCAGAAAGGTTGTACACATTTGTACATTTGTATGAAACTGTTCTTGGTCTGTATATATATAAGAAAGAGATTTTTATTGTATAAGATGGAATATATTCTGAACATCTTACTTACTGCAGAATGGACATTGTGGACCAGTGTTCTATTGTGTTGCTTATAAGTGTATTTGATTGTCATACAAATGCATTTATATTAAAGTGCACTTAATGCAGCTGATGCTTTTGTGTCGTCATAGTCAAGCCCCTTGTTCCTCCCTCAGCCTCATCATCATCATCATCATCCCACCATCCCTGCCTCTTTTCCTCTCCCTCCCATACACTCTCCTCCATTTCTTCCCCTGGAGCGAGTTTCGCTCAGCAACAGCACTGACGCACACACATGACGAGACAGAATGAGACACTATCTGACTCAGACTGACGCACACTCTTGGCATCAAGGTTTTTGTGTTTGCGCATGTGCACACACAGTTGGCCTCCCACTTATGATGATGCACGCACACACATAATAGTAGGCATATGACCCCCCCACCACCACCCCTCTTTACAAATCACAGTAGCCCACATTCACTCGGTGTACCTGCGACTCCATCAGCGCTCGACGTGGCGTAAGACTCCATATATAGGCATTCCTGCTCAAGAGCTCTGACTGAAGCAGCCTCCCATCTATTCTCAGCCTCCATTCAGAAGGATCAGAGAGGGGAGGGCTGGAGAGAGGGGGGAGACAAAGAAAGAGTGAGAGGAGGCTAAATTTAGAGGTACAGTAAAGACGGATGTGGGGCAAAGCGATGCTCTTTCGCCACAGGATGGAAAGGTGAACATAATCAAAATCACACAAAAAACACACATAGATAGCCCATTTTCACTAAATCATTATCGATAAAAGACAGAAGATTTATGGACTGAGGACATATATAACATCTTTTCTGCCAGATCTCATCACCTGTGCCACATGCCAGATAATACAGAATCTATTATATGCAATGAGGCAAAGCCAGAAACATTATAATGGTTTTCTGCAGGCGAACATTTTGTTCCATCACTGGCTGCTGCAGTGTCTGTGGTGGAGTGAAGATGAGCAGTGGACAAAGAGCTGCACAGCCGACTGCTGCTATCTTCTGGCAAACACAAGTACTGCACCAGAGAGGAGGATACTGTATGCAGAGTGAGAAGATGTTAGCAAAAGGTTATGACGAGGGCAGATGTAAGGACATAGGGTAGTGCCGGGTGATCTGTTTGAGATCATTACTAGAATATTGAAGGATAGGTTCACATTAAGTCCAACATGCTTATATGTACACTGCTAAGAGTTATTAGTTGGCTCAAATGTTCCTACTCTCCATGGTGGCTTTGAAGACATCATTCCCTCTTTGTATTTTCCCCAGACAGTGTTTCCTTTCTGAGCTGTAGTGGAGGATCAATAATAGTAATAGTAATAAAATAAATAATAATAATAAACTCAGACACCAATGGCAGCGAGCTACCATGACCATCTGAAGCAAATCGGGGTTCATAAGGACACTTCGATAGGACGGGAGGAGATGGGGATCAACCCGCCAACCTTGTGGTTAATGGACAACCTCCTCTACCTCCTGAGCCACCGTCCCAGACTGGTGCGCTGGAAGACACCCAGTTTCAGCTAAACTTCAGATGTCTGTAGAGAAAGAGAACTGTGGATTTTGTCCCTTATCACGCTTCAGGAAAGGATTCACAGCCAGTGTGGAGAGAATGAACAATTACAGCAACCGATAAAACTTTGTATGTACAGTTAATGTGTGACGTTAACCTTCAATAAGAATATTTTGGATTTATATCATGATACAGCAAATGCAGGAAAACTCCCATATAAAAACAGTCACACTGATGATCCAGGAAATGTAGTGTGCAATCCTTTTTAAAATTTGACAAAATAGTTAGAAATGCCCATCAAAAAGATCCCTGAGGCAACACAAAATGCTAGTTTAGTCTGAAAACCCCAAACTTACAATTATGTTAAATTATGTTCCCTTTTCAAATGTTTATAGAATATGTTTGCTAACACTGTAGGATTCATAATATATCAGCATGTTTGCTCTTAGATTACATGGATGTTGCTTTAGGCCCCCCTCCACCAAATATGTTTTTCTTCTTGTTCCCACAGTTGGATGTTTGAGCTTCACTGAGCAGAATGATGTATGAGCAGAGTTTGACACTAGAAGGATGTTTTCACATACATCTGCTGAAGGTGGAGTGTTTCTCTGTGCTCATTGAAAATCTGATTTTTAATAGAACTACAAGCAGGATTTGTGATCTCAGAAATAGTTTGGAAGTCTCTCCTAGTCCAGTATACAACTTCCCAGACTTCTTCCATCCCTTTGTACTTTTCAGCCAAACCTTCAGACTTATATACTAATATTATTGTTAATTAATGACATTTGTAAAACTGTAAAAAAAAAGTCCCTTTGCTTTCAAAACTAGTTGTGTGTTACTGGTCACAACCAGTTGAGTCAACATGTTTTTTTTGCGGCCGTAACAGAGTCATTTTGTCTCTTCCTTATGTCTTAATTTTTTATGTTATTGTCTGACTGGTGACGCATGTTTTGAGTAGTTCAAGGTGCTCATCAGTCAAACTAATCTCTGTAGTCCTTTGATTGAATGATTCAGCTCCTGTGTGTGTGTGTGTTGTGATGCTACCCATATATCTGATGAAAGTCGGACAAACAGAAACATTGTAATTCAATAAATAATTCAGCAGTAAGCGAGACAGTGCAGGGATTTGTCTCCTTATTTTCAAGTTGCATATTCCTCTAACGCACCTGTCTGACACTCAGGTGTGCAGAGGTTTTTTTTAAAAATATTTTGGAAAATGTTAAACAGCTCATCTTCACATCAGAGAAGTGGTAACTAGGTAATCGTTGGTATTTCCGCTTGATAAATGCCTTAATTGTTCTAAAATGGTTGACAGTTAGTTTCCTGTCTATTGACTTAGTGATCGATTGTTTGAACACTAGTTCAATCTCTGTGCATTATATGACACCAAACCTTCTATATGTGTAAAACAAAACTTGACATTATAATTCCAGTCAATAAACAATATTTGAGTTATCGACTGACCATAAGTCTACGTGACTTTTGCAATAATTCATGTGATGAACCCTTTAGATCACAGATTGATAAGAAGTGTGTCAAGTGTGCAAGAAACCATCTGCACAACCTGACAGAAAGCCAAATCGCTTCCAGAAGTGTTAATAATAGATAATAACATCAAAGAGACTGCATGTACAAAACCTTCCAAGACAGAGCAATTACATTTTCATTAGCTCGGCTCAGAGGAAATGAAACGCTCAGGGTCATAAATATTTTCAAAATTTTAGTGGATGCTTTTGTTGCCAAAGTGTAGATGAAGTAACACCTCTTAAATAATTCTAAAATACAAAAAACAATACAATTTGTTGTAAAGAAATCTTATTATCAGATGTGAATAAGGACACAAGAGAGGGAAAAAAAATTTACATAACAACTGTTTATTAAGATCAGACACGCACAAC